AAAGCAAGATGATTCCAAACAGACAGGTTAGATCTCTTCACCATTTGTAAAACTGATCTATCAGTGGTGCTGATTTCCGTTCACTGAAAAATGACAGAGCATATTCTGTTTTTCAATTCATTAAACTGTAATTTGCATTTTAAAATACCAGGAAAGTTTTCCTACATCTATTATAATAGTGCAACATTAACGACTTGTCAACGCTGAAATCCATTCAAACAATTTAAATTATTCACTGTATGACGTAATTACTATGAAGTGATATGAGTGAATGAATGAAATGGGTTAATGTTCAAGCGATAATCATTTCCTGTTCCAAATTGTCCTTTCCATTTGTTGAAATCAAGTATGTGACATTTACTTCGACCGTTTCCAGTTCTGGACTTAATTTCAAAGTTTTGAGTATGCGGTGAATTCGGTTTAATTTGAATTAACTTGTCAGCTTCTTTATTCAATTTGACATTCTTCACTTACTTTCTGTAGTATCTGGAAGACAAGAAAGTGGAATTGGAGAAACTTGTCGCCGAAAAAGGTGAAGAAGCAATCACTAGACCGGAAGACTGGTAAGAATTTTATTCAATATTTCATTCTTACAATGGGTCTCAGTTCTTTCTATACATTCTTAAGAATTCGATGAATAGGATGTGCTGCGTTATCTTCATCGATATAATCACAGTAATTAATGAATGGCGGTTGTTTAGGGGTGGCTATAGATTGCGTCCACACTATTTTGAATTTTGGCAAGGTCAAACTGATCGGATACATGATCGTATTGTATTTGAAAAAGGAGCTGATGAAACGGAATGGTTGATTAAGCGTCTTTCACCGTGAAAATCACTCTCAAGGGATCCTTGTTAATCCAGCTGATTGTCGAATTCCTTCAAATATAGCTTTCACTGTAGATATAACCGTTAGTAGCTACTTAAATGTCACAAATTAATATAAACTTTGTAATTATAACCTATACTCCAACAAAAGTTCCCTGAAAAAGTAATAATTGAAACTCTTTCGCTTCTCATAGTTAATGTTTGGAATTGATAGTTTTACTTGGCCCAGTGACTATTCTTGTTCACTTAATTTTATTCGGTAAATAGTAAATTT